AAAGGTCTCTACACAGTAAGAACATGTTCGCTTTATCTCCAAGCTGATCACAAACTGTACGAGCATATCAAACGAAAAGAAGGAAACAATGATCCAATCCGGTATGCTTTGTTTCCAGTTCTTGTTTCTGCTTCTTTTATGAGTTGTTGTTCTTTCTGGTAATCAATATCATATCTCGTTTTGTTTTTAGGACACGCGAGGAGATTGTTGGCTTGTTCTACAACCACATAAAAGCGGTCAATGAAATTTATGAGGGTACCAACTTTAATGGGATCAAGGGGCTCCATTTCGTCATTCAGAGAACATCGGTATGCAGTTTCAGTTCTATCACTTTTTATAACCGCTCGTTTTGGATTGCAATCAGTGTCATAAAGCCTTTTAGATTTATACACCAGAAACTTGCGATCGAGGTCGTCCTGTTGCTGGTAGTGACAATCCCTTTTGTGAAGAAAATGTAGATGTATCAAACTTTTTGAATCTGAACTCACAACGCAATCACTCCGCTTTCTGCCTTGCATATGCACTCACTTTTCGTGATTTTGTTGGAGGTACTCTTGGATTGGCATGGGTGGCAAGCCCACAATACAGTGAGTCGTTGATTTATTTGCTTTTCTTTGACGCCCAAATCTTCGAGTATTACCACTTTTTAGATACTGCTGGAGGTATCTGTCAAGTGTACCAGCGTTACAATGAGGGATCGAGAGGATGGGTTTTTCGTTCTTTAAATACAGGAATTGTAACTCTTGTCAACTACGGGAACCGTGTGCCGACACGAGTTTCGCAGCTTACACTTGCACATGAAATTGGACATAACTTTGGATCACCACATGACTACCCTTTAGGCAAGTTCATGTTTTCCATCTGCATTTGAGAACAGCAACGCAGAAAATTTGTCTAAAGTAAAACGGCAATCTGTTCACTGATGATAAAGATCCAAGTGGAACAATTTCTGCAAGTAGGGAAGAAGGATTTTTTTTTTTGTTGTGGAGGAGAGTTGAAAACCGCAACCATCGAAAGTGTGAACTTATGAAATGATAGCGCAGTTTTCATGATGTTGACTACACTCCTAAAAATTCCTTTTTCTATCGTTTAGCTATTTGAACGGTCTTACATACTTTGGTTTTTTTTTCTGATAAAGCGAAAAATCTTCTGAAATATTAGGCATCAATGTGACCTTTCTTATCTGATCATGCTCAATACTTTCATTTTTTTTTCATTTTAGCTGCTAGAAAAGAATCAATTTCATTTTTGTAGAATGCCAGCCAGGCCTGCCTGATGGCAACTTCATCATGTTTGCTTCCGCAACATCCGGTGACAAAGTCAATAATGCTAAGTTTTCGCCATGTTCGGTGGCCAACATCTCTAGCGTACTACATGTAGTTCTGCAATCTGTACCTATTGATCCCACTCGACATGCTGGACCAGTTGGAGCTCTAATGAAGCGTAATTGCTTCCAAGGTACACTCAATATACTAGTAAATTTTTTAATTTAAACGAAGAATTTTTTAACTTTAGAAAGAACATCGGCGTTTTGTGGAAATCAAATTTGGGAACCAGGAGAGGAGTGCGATTGCGGCTTTTCTCAAGCTGATTGCGATCAGATGGGAGATAAATGTTGCATGCCACACGAATCAACAAGAAATGGCTTTAGCGTGGTAGGGCCATGTAAGAGGAAGGTAAGTCCTTTGTTTCCCATTTTTTGCAACTCTGCGCCTGTAGTTTTATCTATTGCTCTTTTTTCCCAATC